TTTTCTTTTTGAGACGGAGTCTCACTCTGCTGCCCAGGCTGGAGTGCAGTGGTGCCATCTCAGCTCACTGCAACCCCCATTTCCCAGGTTCAAGTGATTCTCCTGCCTCAGCCTCCCAGAGTAGCTAGGACTACAAGCAGCCGCCACCAGGCTTGGCTAATTTTTGTATTTTAGTAGAGACAGGGTTTAGCCATGTTGGCCAGGCTGGTCTTGAACTCCTGACCTCTGGTGATCAGCCCGCCTCGGCCTCCCAAAATGCTGGGATTACAGCCATGAGCCACTGTGCCCTGCCGCCTTTAAGTCTTCTTTTAGCCTTTTCCTTCCAGAGGAAATAAATCAGGTCTTATGTTTTCTCTTTATTGGTTCTATTTTCAGATCTCATAATCATCATTGTTGAGCATCCTCTGGGAATTCTCCATAGGCCAAATGTTACTTTTAATCCAGGGCACTTAGATCAACCTTGGAAGTTCTACTGAGAGGTGTAACTATTGCTGGGTTTAATGGTGGATGCTTTTCTAGTTGCTCTGTGATGCAAACTTATCTGAGGATCAGATGCCTGACTTCTTAAACAAGGACCAACAATGTAGAACAATGAACAAAAAGCAATGTTTCATTCTTACAAATTCAAGAAGAAAGGATGATCAGGAACATAATACACTCAGTAAGCCCATATAAAATGCAACTATGCATTCCAGACTCAAAAAAAGCAATAAATAGATTCAAGCATATCCAATAATTGCACTGCATGAGACAGTGTTCAAAGATTTAGCCCTCTCAAGTTCTCCTTTGCTTGAGAACTGGGCTTGTGTTGTGTCTATTACCTCTTTAGATTTAATGAGGTAGCTTGAACAGACTGGTAGAATGGATCGTAATGATTCACAAGACTTCATCACCTCCAGCAATTAATTTTATCCAATTTATCAGTTTCGTCATTCAGGGCACATTTGAATGATACTTTTCAAAAGGTTAATGAAAAAAAATACCATTTTTGATTAGTATTCACTTGAGAGTAGAAAAAAAGGCATGGGAAGACTTTTTCAATATTTGCCAAGAGCCAACTTAAATGCAAGTCGATGTCATAAACAAGTTCATCTGACTTCAGAAAACGACACTGTAGCATTCTCTTTCAATAATATTATTGGGGCAAAAGGAACAATGAAGGGACTCTCCTGGGAGACCCCAACTTCAGCAACAGCTGTAACATCCAACGAGGCATGGTGACTTCTTATACTTGGCCCAAATGCTTGGCACCACATGGGCACCTGGTTCTACCAAGACTTCCATCCCCACCTCCAAAGGGGCCACTTCTGTCAGCTGCCATTTTGAGAGGTCTCATTTGTTAACAGATTATCCCTCAAACCCAAAGACATCAAGCAATTCCAGCTTTCTTTGTCCTCAGAGTGTCTACTAGAGCAATCCTTGACCTAATTGGGCACATCCCCAAATTCTCACTTAGACTCAGAATGCAAACACCCCTGTGCATTTTCTAATCTGTTTCGGAG